CAAACTCCCCAAATCTGACACCTCGAACCCCCTGCCCCCCACTCAGATATTGGCACCCTCAAACTTTGCAAACTGAAACACTGGCACCCCAAACTTCAGCACCCCCAAACCTCAGCACTCCCAAATCTCGGCCCCCAAGCACTCCAACCCCCCTACACTGAAATACCAGTACCCCAAATCCTGGCATCCAGAGACCACTGATACTCTGCCACCCCAAAATCCCTGCACCCACAACCCCTGAACTGGTGTAACCCCAAACCCTGGCACCCTAAAATCCCAGCACCCCCAAAGTGCAAAATCCGAGCAACCCCAAAATCCCAAACCCTGAAACCCCAACACCACAAAACTGCCACAATTCATAGGCCAGGAACCCCAACAGACACACCTGCATCTTGACACCCCAACACCCCAGCACCCCAAAATCCCAGCACCCCGGGGACCCTGACAGGCAGCACCCCCAATACCCCGAGCACCCAATACCCCGGCACCTCAATACCTTGCCAGCTGGCCACCCCAATACCCCCACACCCTGATACCCCTGCACCCCCATACCCCTGTACCCCAATACCCCTGCACCCCCATACCCCTGCACCCCAATACTCCAACACCTAGCACCCCAATACCCCTGCACCCCAGCACCCCATACCCTGACACCCCAGGCACCCGAACACCCCAATACCCAACACCCCGACACCCCAGGCACCCCAATACCACAGCCCCCGTCAGCACAATGCACCCCAAACCCTCCCCCAAAGATGCCCCTAAAACTCACCCGCTTGGGTCCCCCCCAGAAGGCCCATCCAGGACCCCCCAAGTCAGCACCCCCCTCTTGGGACCCCCCAAAACCACATAAAAACCCTCCCCCCAGCCCCAGGAGCACAACTGAGAGACCCCAACCCCCCCCAGGATCCCCCTCCGGGGAAACCCGCCAGGAGCCCCCCCAGAACTCCCCCTTGGGCCCCCTGCCCAGACCCCCCTCCCTGGTTGCCCCCCCGGTGGCTCCAGCCGTGGGCCCCCCCGGCCGTGCCTCAGTTTCCCATCACGGTGCCACATGTCTGGGGAGAGGGCTCGGTCAATTTTGGGGGGACCCCCGAACCCCACTGCCCCCCGAATTTCTCGTGTGTGTCCCCAGATGCCTCGGCACCTTGGGGGGGGGCAGGGGGGACACTCGGGTGACCCGGATCTGGGTCTTTTTGGGGGGGTAATTTGGGGGGTATCGTGTTCCCCCCAGTTCCGGTGCCTGCCCTGGAAGCTTCCAGCGGGGGGAGCGTGGGGGGTGCGGGTGCACCCCGAGGTGACAGCGGGTGACAGGGGGTGACGTGGGGGGGTGACGTGGGGGGGTGACGCGGTGGCGCCTGCGCCAGCACCTAAAAATAACCCGCCGAGTCAGAGCCACGCACCGGCACCCAAAATACCCCGGGGGGGCACGCGGCGGGGGGGCACCCCCAACACACCCACACCAAAAATACCCCCGGGTGTCTGGGTGGGCACGTGATGGGGGGGGAAACACAAAGGGATGACACCCCGGGGCCCCCGAACCCACGGCAGGTGTAGGATGGTTTGGGGGGTTGGGGTGGTCAGGGTGGTCCAGGAAGTGGGGTCAGGATGCCTGGGGAGGTTCAGGGGGTCGGTGTGCTCCAGGAGGATTGGGGTGGTCCAGGCTGGGGGTTCAGAATGGTTCTGGGGCGGGTCAGGGGGCCGGGGGGGCAGAGAGTGCTTTGCGGGGGCTTCTGGTGCCCGCCGGGGTCTGGGCTCTGCTGCAGCCGGGGCAGAGGAAGATGATGGTGAAGGCCGTGATGAAGGGTCTGACCCCACCAGTGTCTCCTGGGGAGGGGACAGGGAGCAGGCCCATCCCCCTGGCGCTGGCACCCTGAATCCCATGTCCCCCCACCCTGTCCCTGGCTCCGGGTCCCCCCCGGGCACTGGGGCTTGGGGCACTCGGGGTCCTCGGGATGGGGGCACACGGGGAGGGGACTGTGGGCAGCATGGGGGCACAGATGGGGTGGCAGTGGGACACGGGGACAAGGGGGACAGGGCTGGGGGGCAAAGGGCCAGGGGAACACGGAGTTCACGGATGGGGGACACAGGGGACATGGCCACGGGGACAGTGGGGACACGTGTGGGGCCACATCCAGGAGGGCACAAAGGCAGGGACACGGAGGCCCTGGGGGGGTCCTTGGGTGCCACGGGGCTATGGACAGGGGTGTGGGTACAGGGGCCATACTGGTACAGGTGGGTGCTCTGGGGTCCGTGGGTGGTACCGGTGGGTGCAGGGGGGTCTCGGCTGGGCCGGTGGTGCCGCAGCCCCCAGAGCTCTGTGCTCAGCACGTCCTGCCGTGCCCACAGCACCCGCCCACGGCACCCTGAGAGCCTTCCCCACTCCATGGCCACCACCCTGACACTCCATGGCCACCATACCAGACTCATGGAATCCCAGAATCCCAGAGGTTGGAAAAGCCCTCCCAGCCCATGGATCCACCCTGTGCCCCATCCCCACCTTGTCCCCCAGCCCAGAGCACTGAGTGCCACGGCCAGGCCTTCCTGGGACACCTCCAGGGCTGGGCACTCCAAACCTCCCTGGGCAGCCCCTGACAAGGCCTCCCCACCCTTTCCAGCAGGAAATTCCTCCTCCTGTCCCACCTGAGCCTCCCCTGGCACAGCTTGGGGCTGTGCCCTCACCAGCAGCACTGTGGCAGCCCATGGAAAACGGGCTGCTGGTTAATGCACTTGGATTATTAAG